AAAACAGAAAAGTATACAATATAGGAAAGAAATCGTTACAGTTGTCATCCGATCGAAAAAGTTATTTAAAATGTGATAATTCGAAAGGACGAAAATAACGTTTGTTTTTAAGAAGTTCATTTTTCCTTTCTTTTCTTTTTCTCTCTTTTTTTTCTTTTTTTTTTCAAATTAAGTTTTACGTCTGAAAAAGACTGTTATTGTTAAATTTTTTTTTCTTTTAGCAAAATTGATCTATCAATACTTCATAAATTTTGTTTTTCTTATATTTTCATCTTTGTTTGAAAAAATCTTAGTGAAAAGTATATATCTTACAAATGATGATAATTTAAGTTTCCTTCCTTTCACTTTCTTCTTTCCTCAAAAAAAAAGCAGGGTATTAGCGTAGAATAAGAACAAATCAGTTAGAAATTATAAAAAAAAATCAGTAGAAGATTTAAAAAAGATTTTTGAAACTTATGGAAATAAGTTTTTAAACAAATATGCCTTTTTATTTGTACAAATTTATTATATATAGGTAAATAAATCACTGATCAGGAAAATGAGTTATGAAAAAGGTCATTTGTCAATTATCACTTAAGATAATCTTCACCAGCGATATCATATCACTACTCGAGATTCGAGTTTCAAAGACTCACGTGGAACAATGAATACTTATTTGTTCGGACAAACAAACTGACTCTGTGAAATGTTGAATTTTATAGGGAAGTTTGAACTAACGTAGTAAAAGCCGAAAATTCTACTTACAATAATGGCGGTATTGACTAATGTCTTGTCCGGGGGGGGGGGGGGGGGGGAAATTTTAATTTCAGGAAATTTGTCGAATCAAATTTCGAAAAATTCAAATATAAGAAAGCTCTATTACAGTTTTTTTTCTTTTTTTTTAATGAAATTGCTAATACTATGGAGTTTATTTGTTTTGTTTCGTGCCATTCTAACTTACTATGTCGAAAAACTAATAGTTAATGCTGTGTGATTGCACTATCATAAAACCAGAAATCTATTGTTCTATCAACTGGTATAGGTTGGATTAAACGAACTGGAAAGTAATTGGATTTAAAAGGGAAAAGAATGCAAAAAGAATTTAAATGATTTTTTTTATTCTAAAAGATTTCATTTAAAATCAAACTCTATGGAATGATTCATGATATTTAAAAGAAAAAAAAATGAAAGGGAAAAGGGTAAATTTTTCATTAATTTTTACGTTACAAACGAACGTTTTTAGCAGAAAATTTTTATTTGAACAATAAAATGATAAAAAAGGAACAAAAACGAATTCAATTTTTTCTATTTTTTTGTCAAGTGCATAATAATTAATTATTTCCCAGCAAATTAATAATTGTGTTCCTAACTCTAAAAAACAAAAACAAATAAAAAAAAACAAAAGGAAGAAAAAAATTAGAAGTTAAAGAATTAAATTTAATATCGCAGCAAATGATAGTAATAATCTTGCATCAATTTATTACAATATTTCAAACTATTGAAGTCCCTGTACCGTGATAACAATTTATATATGATAGCATAATATTTGTTATCAGTAGTGATGATGTCAATGAAATACATTTCTATCATTACAACAACCAACCAACATCACCACCAACATTGTTGAATCGAAATAAAATTTTGTTGATAAACAGGATTATTGTTAAATGATAAATTTTAAATGTTTCCTATTAAAATATTTGCAAATTATTTTTGCTTTTCCAAATTTTTTGCTGCAGAAAATCGATATTAAAACTATATAATTAAGCGGAAAACTTTGTCAACTTAATTACCGTTGCCATTAATCATTATACCGTAATAATGATAATAATTAAAGGTTTTAGGAAAAATGACGGATAAAAAGTCGGAAAATGTATTGCTTCAAAAAACATATCAATCTTATTGAAGACAGTTACAACAAGAATACAGTTATGTTTTTTCTTCACTGATCCTTGAATCCAACATATCATCCGGTATACAAGATATACCAGATATTTCCGTTCCGAATGGTGAATGATTATCAGATATTACCGGTGAGATTTACTGCTGAATTGAATCGATAAGACTAATTGCTCAATTATTCCGCTTAATTCACTGGATGATTAATTCATTACAAGTACTAAACTGTACAAAAGTGATAATTAATTAATCACAGATAGCATTATAATACTTCAAAAAATATACCTAGCCGGATTTCAAACTGGTACTGGTACCAGACTGGTACCAGTACCAGTTTGGTACGATACTGGTAGGAACGAATTCATTGTCTTTCATGAAAGTTTAATTTAGTTTATGTAAATCAATTTTGCAAACAGATTTATAAATGAAAAAAAAAGGGGTAAAGGAAGATGAATATTGGTTAAAATGAAATTGAAATATAAAATTGGTGAGTGATGGATGCGCATTTGGCAGATGAAAAATTTAATCTAAAATATTCTTTTTTCCAAAAAAGAGAAAACCAGAAATGTGTGTCTATACATATATATATCTTCCATTCTCATCTATCTTTCAATTTTGATAATCCTATAAAAATTAATATTTCATCTACTAATCGCATAATTTTTTTTCTTGTTACAAAATCCAATTAATATGTAATCGATGATACAGAAAAAAATTATTTTTGTCAAAAATTTTACCTTATAAAAAAGATTTTTTAAAAATTTATAAACAAATAAATCCACAAAAAAATGCAAAAATATTTGGAATAGAATGGGTAAAAAAAAATAGAATAATCATATTGAAGATATTCAATCAGAGAAGACACGAAGAAGAGAAAAAAACAGCAAAAATGACGAAAAAAAATTAAATTAAATTAAATTTCAGTATGCCTCATATGGTTTGTATTTTTTATTTCTGGGATAAAGAATGGCAGCATTTTTATTTGTTTTAAAATTTTACATTGGTATAAAATTTCATTTATTCTTCTATGTATTACTGTATTAAACAAAATTTCATTTCAAATATTTCAACCATTACTGTTACCATCAATTTATTCGTATTTTCTAGCAAATTATTAAATCAAAAATCGAAATTCATCAATGATTTGAAATTTATAAATGATTTAAGGTTTTTATCATTTTTATCATAAAGGGTTTAAAGTTTGTTATCATTTAAAAAGTTAGAAATTGAAGCGTTTTATGGATTACATTCGTTAAAAAATAATCCTTCTTCCAAATGTTAGAAATGATAAAAATTGCTAATTTCAAAAAAATTTGATTGGTAATTTATTTATTTACAATTATTCTTTGATAATACTTCAAAATGAGCAAGCAAAGAAAACGAGAAATTTTGAAATTTTTTGATATTTCATCAAAATTGCATATATACATATATATATAGGTAGATAGATAATGGAGAAATGCAAGAGTATGAAAATGTAAGCAATGAATGAAATGAAAATTTCCTTATTTCAAAATTGAAGTTAATAAATCTGAAATGTCAAAATTTAAAAGTTAAAATTTGAAATTGAAACTTAAAAATAATTGATCGCAAAAAAAAAGAGTGATTGGAATAAAGCACGCAATTATCAATTACATTTTGAATCAGCTGTTAAACGACAAAATATTAGCAAACATTAATTGGCATGAATGAATATTTGTTTGCACTGAACATATGACGCCCTATTACGTTTTTACGACCGGAAAATATGTGATTGATTGGGAAACATAACTGGTTTACTTTTCATTATTTACCGGGGCGGTAATTACATAGATGCTTAATTATCCCATCTCATTGATTATGTATTATATATAAATGTAACAATTGTTGAAAAAAAAAAAAAA